GATAGAGCAGGGTTTAGGGCTGTTGTGCATAGGGTCGCTATGAGTCGCAAACGACTCGACGGCACATAACAACAACAACATAGTCTTTGATTTTCATTAGTGCTTCAAGACCCCATGACTTTCAGCAAGCAAGGATGTGTCATCTATGTATTACAATTTGTTAATGAGTCTCCCTCCAATCCTGATGCCCAACTCTTCTTCTGACAGTCCAGCTTCTTGCATTATTTAGTCAGCATATAGCTTGAATAGGTATGGAGAAAAAAATGTCATCCTGGTGTACGCACACCTTTCCTAATTTTTAGCCGTGCAGTATCTCCTTGTTCTGTTAGCATGACTGCCTTTTCTTGATCTATGTACAGGTTCTACAAAAGCATAATTGAATATTGTGTAATACCCATTCTTCTCAATATTATCCATAATTGGTTATTACCTCCACAGTCTAACGAATGCCTTTAGAAGGCCAATAAAATAGAGGGAAACATCTTTCCAGTGTTCTCTACTTTTACCCAAGATCCGTATGACGTAAGCAATGATATCACTCATTCAAAGAGAATTGATCAACATTCACAACACATAGTACATACTAACAACTTGCAATAACTCATTAACAACTTGCGATAGACTTTCAGTAGAGATGCCTGATATTTCCCCAAAACATCTCTTTTCATCTAATGACTAATTAAAATCTTATGAAACTCACTTGGAAATAGTGAGATTTAAAAAAATTATGTTTTAAAAAATCCCTCAATTTTTATACATCCATACAAATTGTTTAATGTGCATTTTGTTTTATACAATAATTTCTACATGTGTTTTGTATAATAAATTTGATATTTATCTATGACTTTTTTCACCTGTCTCATCAAATTCCCATTGTACCTTGCCTCTTCCTTTATACAACCCTGTCCATCCACTCCTCTCTGCTGACCCGGTGATTTCCTCTTCCACATCTCTTCTTCCCTTCCCCTTTTGTGCAGTTACTTGCTAATTGCAATAGCTATGCTATCCTTATCTCAGTTCTTCCCACGTGGGCCCTCCCTTGTCCTGTTCCTTAATAGTGTTCATTGTCTGTATATTCTGCTCTGTTCTCTACCCCCAGACTACCCTACCCCTACAGACATAATGGTTTTAAATGTATACTTTGGTGGCATTGAGATCTTGGTTCAAATTCTGTTCTGCTACTTCAGAGCTACATTTCTCTAGATATGTTATTTCAAGCTTTGGTTTCCTTGCCTACATAATAAGTAGAATAATATCCACTACATAAAGTGTTGCATACATTTAAAGAAATATTAGTTGTAAAATGCTAAACACAACTTCCTTTAACCTTTGAGAAATGACAATTCTTACAGTGGTTTTTATTGCAAAACAGGGGGAGTGAGAAAATTCTTCACCTATATAGTTTTGCCAGTGGCTCCAGCTTCAATCATTGCAAATTCTCTGTTGGGTTGTAAGCATCCCTTAAACCAAGGCAGTAGGATCTTTCTTGTTGACCCAGAGAATAATAGAGCTGGAGAAAGGGAGGAAAGAACTATATATGCTTACATCTTTATTCTCAAGATAAATGCCTGGCATGTGGTAGATACAAATAATGAGTGAAACGTAAGTTGTGGGTGTTTTTGGTGGTGTTT